TTTTTAGGATTTTAAATGCCCTGTCAGCCTTTGGGGTCCAATAGAAGGGGTCATGATCTGCTTTTTTTCCACAGTTGTACAGGGGTTCAGCCCACAGTCCAAACTTTGGGATCCATATTCTGCAAAAGCCTGCCATGAAATGCCCTGAGCCCTGAGCCGCTTACGATTACTTGGGGTAGGAACTTGGCAGATAGCTTCCTTTCTTTTGCTTGAAAGCTGACGCTCCCCTTGCCGTGTGTGAAACCCGAGGTACCATACCTCTGGGAGGGCGATTTGAGCCTTACTCCGTGCTACCCGATATTCCCGGAGTCCAATAAAATTCAGGAGCCCCACGGTGGCTTTAAGGCAGGGGGTTTGGCCCACAGTGGCAATTAACAAATCATTTACATACTGCAGAAGGAGGGCCTTCTCATTATTCCACTCCTCTAGGTCCCTGGCCAGAGCCTGGCCAAAGAGGGTGGGGGAGTTTTTAAATCCCTGGGCCAACACTGTCCAGCAAAGTTGCTTTTTAACCCTCTTTTGGTCCTCCCACTTGAAGGAGAAGATCTTCTGTGACGGGGTGGCAACTGGGATGGTAAAGAAAGCATTTTTTAGATCGAGAACTGAAAAATGGGTATACTGTCCCCCTATAGAAGCCAATAAGGTATACGGGTTAGGGACAAGAGGGTGCAAAGTCTTAACCCGTTCATTGACTGCCCTTAGGTCCTGTACCAGCCAATACGTGCCATCAGGCTTCTGTACGGGTAGAATGAGAGTATTCCAGGCTGACTGACATTCCCAGAGAATACCATATATTAGCAATCGATTTATAGTTTTTTGTAAACCTTTTTTGGCTTTTTTTTTGATTGGATACTGTTTTACTTGCACTGGGTCTTTCCCTGGTATGAGCTGAATAGTAATGGAGGTCTGGAGGGTGGCCTTTCCTGGAATTCCTGATGCCCACACGAGGGGGTACACCTGGTCTTCCCACGGGCTCCATTCTGGGGCTTGCATGGCTGAGGGCTCAACTGCAAGGGTCATGATTCATGCATTCTTAGGGGGTAAGGTAAGGGTTATTTTATTTTCAGTAAAATGCAGGGTGGCACCGAGGCGACAAAGCAGATCCCGTCCCAGCAGAGGTGTTGGACACTCAGGGAGGTATACTAGCTTGTGGGATATAGTCCTGTTTTTTAAAGCGCATTCCGCTGGGGCATACACTGGGCACTTGGTGTTCCTGCCTGTGGCTCCCACCATAGTATGGGAATCTGCTACTGGCAATTGAAGGTGTTGATTTACAGCAGTTCGTGCTGCTCCAGAGTCCACTAAAAAATTTATTTCTGAGTTTCCCACCCGCATCTTTACTCGGGGTTCCGGGGGTAGGGTGGTCCGTCTTTCCTGACACCCCTATTCCTGCTCCGCCATCACCATCACAGAGGCACCCCCCTTTTCTTTCCTCTTTGGGCACTTATTTTTCCAGTGTCCCTTTTGTTGACACAAGGCACACTGGTTGCGATCCAGTCGTCTCTCCTGCAGGCCCGGACGTTCGTGTCCACGGCCCCTTTTTCCCTGGCCACTTCTCTTAGTGCTGGCCTGTACCGCTGTTACCATCAGTCTTACTTGCTTTTTTTGTTTGTTTGTTTTTTTAGACTATAAGCTTGGTTTGCAGTCTTTAAGATTTGTGCCATGGTCATGCCCATTAAATTTTTTTTTTTTGTAACTTTTTTTTAATATTAGGGGCTGCTCTGCTCGTAAAAATTCCCTTAATAATTGACTCAGTTGCCTGATCATTGGGGTCTGCATTAGTGTTCTGTCGAATTGTGTTCTGAATACGCTGTAGAAAGGCCCCTGGGCTTTCTTTTAAATCCTGCATTACTTCATATGGCTTTGCCCAATTATTATGTCGGACAGCCGAGTGATGGAGTCCATGCAAAAGCAACTCCTTATAGGAGGTAAGGCGGGTCATATCCCCATGATTATTTGGATCCCACCTGGGGTCTGCTCGGGGGACTTGTGCATTCGGGTCAGGGACATTAATACGATCCCGGTCGTACTGTCTCTGCGCCTCCTCCCTTGCCTTGGACACAACCTGTTGTCTTTTAACCTCAGACAATAGGGTTCGCAGGAGGATGTTACAATTATCCCAGTCCGGCTTGTGACTGCTGAGGCACCCCTCAAAGACTGAAATAAACCCGATTGGGTTCATGGAGAATTCCCCAGCCAGTGTTTTAAAAGCTGCTAAGTCTATTGGATTGAATGGCACATGGGTGTAAACTTGCATAGTGGTAGCCTGACGTCCGTCTGCCCCTGGGCAAGCCACAACAGTCTCGGTAAGCAAAGGATAGAGTTCCACCGAGGGGGCAATCTTTGTGACCCGAGGCATTCTACCCTTATAAGGTGGGGGTGTGGGGGCCGAAGGGGATACCGGCTCTGCCATTACAGTGGGGGTGGGGATCTGGGGACTAACATTAGCTGCTACCGAACCAGTCGGAGTCAAATTACAACTCCGCAGAACTACAGCTTTATTCTAGGTTTCAGAGTAACAGCCGTGTTAGTCTGTATTCGCACATTGTAGGGAGAGTGGTCGCTTTGGATGAGCTATTACCAGCAGGAGAGTGAGTTTGTGTGTGTGGTTTTTGGAGGGGGGTGGGGGGGTGAGAAAACCTGGATTTGTGCTGGAAATGGCCCACCTTGATTATCATACACATTTTAAAGAGAGTGGTCACTTTGGATGGGCTATTACCAGCAGGAGAGTGAGTTTGTGTGGGGGGGCGGAGGGTGAGAAAACCTGGATTTGTGCTGGAAATGGCCCAACTTGATGATCACTTTAGATAAGCTATTACCAGCAGGAGAGTGGGGTGGGAGGAGGTATTGTTTCATGGTCTCTGTGTATATAATGTCTTCTGTAGTTTCCACAGTATGCATCCGATGAAGTAAGCTGTAGCTCACAAAAGCTCATGCTCAAATAAATTGGTTAGTCTCTAAGCTTTATTCTATTTTTTAAAGCCATAAACGCTTGTGCATACAAATAGTTATTTCATTTACTTATTTACTGACAAAACAAAACTAATTGGAGGATTGTGTTGTAATTAATTGACCCTTTTGGTGGCCACCACTCCTGGTCCTCTAGTTGATATTGAGGCCAGTCAACTGTACAGAATTGTTTTAACTGGCTCTTAGTCATTGGATTCGCACCAAATACCTTCCAGTTTGCTAGAATGCATTTTAGGGGCGTACACTGTGCCCTAACCCCCGAGCTTTGTCCCTGTTCCATACCTACAGGGTAACTCTGGGCGTTCCCAGGTTCCAACAGAGCATACAATCCGGATTTCAAAAGGTTCCTACCTTATCCAAGGGACCGGTTCTTCACCGTCATCCACAACTGCTCCTCCCATATGTCCAAGGACCGGTTCTTCACAGTCGTCCACAACAACTTCTCCACTATATGAGTGCGTTGCACCGTTGTGCCCTCTGGGGTCGATCAAATCGCATCGCCTCCAAGGCCCCGGTGAACTCACCGGTGTGCACTGGGCATCGGTTCTCGCCGCAATCCTCGACCTCCAGGAGGGGTCCGGGCAAGGCTAAATTGCAGCCTTGTCGACCACCCAGGGACACCAAAAGCTGTTGCCGGCACCCAGTGCCCAGAGGCTAAACAACAACTGGAGTTGGTTCGCTACCCGGTTTGCTACACCCAATAATTACAATGGGGTGGAGAAGCAGAAAAGTTTATTTGCAGCTGCAAAAAGGTACAGGGAGAATAAAATCTCAAATCCTGCACACAGAGCTGGAAGTTACACAAGCTTTTATACATCCTTTTTTTCAGCATACTTATTTAATAGGAAGCTGCCCTAAGTATCCATATAGCCAGCCAATTAAGTTCCCAGCTAGTGCCCTTGTGCTCTGTATTATTTCTTAAACCAAACATAAAGCTGCTTTATTCAGCATTATTTTTTTATATTTGCCCTGCTTGGCCTTGCTTAGTTTCAGGTAGTCTGACTCTGCAGCCTATTGTTGCAGATCCTCAGCATAACTGCTGTGAGTGCCTCCAGGCGGGGGGGGGGGGGCAAGGACACTTGGGCCTAGTGCGAAGGGGCTTCATCGACATTCATGGTCTTCCATCCCCTCGAGTTACCTAGTGGCCATGCCCCAGTGTCCCCAACAAAGGGGTTGTGAAGAAGTCTGGGTTACTTGACAGCTCCACTTCTACAATAAGTAGTGAACCACAGCCTTCTTGAACTACTGGACTCTAATTTCAAGGCTGTTTTGTTCAGCTGGACCAATAGGGTAAGTTTTTAACGAAAGGGCCGATTGGGGTTACTTTAACTCCCGTCTGGCACCCTAGCTTCAGTGCCATAGCATAAGGCCGCAGTTTCTCATGAAGTCTGATGTCGCTTCAAGTAGTAATAAACGTGTCCCTCCAGCAACCACCTTTCATACCAAACTGCTGGGCAGCTAACCCCCCTCACCAGAGGCAGCCACCTCTGGGGGAGAAGGTGGCAGTGCTCAGGGGTACAGAGGGATGAGACTGGGTGGTTTTTAGGACAGGAAGTGAAGAAGAATCCTCTAGGCAGGGGCCACTGTGGGGAATCGTGTGGCAGAGCAAAGGGATGCAGGTTAGCATTGGGCTAGGCCTTGCTAGTGCAGAGCGTGGTGGGGTCCTTAGGGATGGGGCATGACTGTGCCCTGGGTTTGCCTTGCCCCAGGGGGTAAGTGCCAGTGATGGGGGTGCCCTATGGGCTGGCTCATGAAGGGTCCTGGGCCTCAGGCTGCCATGGCTGTCTGAGGGCGACCTCCCCACGAGCCTCTGCGGGTTAATGAGCGATGGGGGGCGGGGCAATGGGCCATTTCCCCCCTCCGCTCCCGCCCCCTCCGCTTGCGGTGTGCTTCCCGGCACAGCCCCCTCCACGCAGGACCAACGGCCAGCACGGCCCCGCCCCCGGCGCTGCTGATAGGGTGGAAACCGTCGCTGGGCCCTGCCTCTCACAGGAACCTGTAGGAGCCCCAGCACCGCCCCTCTCGCCAGGTCCCGCCCCTTCCGCTCGGGCCGGGGGCGGGGCTGCCTGGTCTTCGCTGGCGGCCCTTCCGCCCGTGTGATGGGGCAACCAGCCGCCCGGGAGCGGACTCCCCTCCAACGCCGGGTAGCGCGCTCGGTCCCGCGGGGAGGTAAGGCCCGGGGCCGCTGGGGGCGGGCTGGGGAGGGGCTTTGCTCTGGGGCGGGGGGCGGGGGGAGTATCAGACCCCTTTCCCGACTCGGTTACCCCATCCCTGGGGGGCTGATCTCTCGCCTCCACCTCCTGCCCGGTGTATGGTAGATGCCCGCTGCTCAGAAGCGCTCTGTGCTGGGGGCGGGGGAGGCGTCTCTGTGTTTACTAATGTCATGTACAAGCTACGTTCCCCCCCCCAGCCGCTCAGCGCTTGGCCCCTTCGTCTCCGTGTGAGCCCCGCCTGTGGGAGCGATGTGGTCACTGTTCGCTGGCTGGGTGCTGCTCTGGCTGAGATTGTCGCGTATCAGTTTAACATCTGGAACTTCCCCGCTCTGCAGCGGAGCGATGATATAGACTTGGTGATGTAATATTATAGTTCTCATTGCTCAATACGATGACCCTGGGAACAAGACGCTTGGAAAATAATTACAAAATTAAAAAAAACCCAAAAAGTTATTTCTCTGTTTACCATGTATGGCTATATATTGTATATTTATTAAAAATGGCACAATACTTTTATATAAAACCTGTGTTTTGGAATGTGCCTATTTTAGGATACGCTCTAAAATTGTGTTGAGGTTTGTCAGTCTGTTGCACTTTTTGTTGCTGCCTTTGCATGCAGATCAGCCTGGATAATTGCTCTATTGTGAATAAGGTCCAGGAGATGCTATAGACACACAAGATTTGGTTTCAAGGTCAGAACTTCATTGCATACTAATTGCAGCCAGTTTGTTCACTGGTGTAACATTGAAGTCTTGACACAAACTTGTTAAAGTTTTTTTTTTTTTTTTTTTATTTTCTCTCTAGGAAATTGCACATTAGTTGTACAAGTTATTTGCAACTTATGTTGCTTTGTGTACAAGGGGAAGGTTGCCATGGCAGTCTTAGCTTTACATGTTGCTAGGTTTTGGTGACTTGTCATGTTCATTTTATTTTAAATTATTTTGTGCAAGTTTTTTTATATTAACCAAGGTAAGGAGGAAAAATCTTTCCTGTGGTATGTATCAAAATTTTCCAGCAGTGGCAAAATCTTTAATAAACTGGTCTACATTCTACATACATGCAGTCAAACGTATGCTAATGTTTGACAGTTAAGATGCTCTGATTAGTAGGACTCTTATAATCTACAAGGAGAACTGACCTAACTTGATTTTATTCTGTCACTAGTCTTCTTTATATCAAATTATTTCTAAAGAAAATAAAGTATAAGTTTGGTAACATAAGGATGTTACTGTTTGCATGAGCATGAATAATTATTGTGACAATGTGGCGTTCCAGTTTTTGCTCAAAACTCTATGGTAGTTGATAGCAATTGGGGTTCCATTTCACATACTTAGGAGAAAGTTCAAAAATTGTAACAAGTTGGTACTTCCACGTGAAGGTCATGTTTGAATAGCAAGGCACTGTGGAGAAGCTTGCACTAATGCTGCCTGTGCTGTTGTGGTTTGGTAATTAAATGGAGGATTTGGATTTCCTCTGAAGTAATGTACAAGCATCTTAATCTACTGACTCTTGAAATCATATTTTAAACGTGGCTTTTTCTCCCCCCCCCCCCCCAGCTTTGTAAACAAATGGAAGAAAAGGCAACGGGGAGAGGGAGCATTAATGTGTTTCATCTCCCTGTTTTATGGTTTTACAAATAGTTATGTTAAGTCACTTTCTTAGGGTTTTCTGCATGACACTTGCCGATAAACTTCAGAAAAATAGCACTTCACTCAGACTCGGATTTATTTAAAGCTGTCAGCTAAATTCTTGGACGATTCCATCTGCACTGAGTGTACTCCATCCCCACAGAGCTCCTTCGTGCTGCTGGATGGCACATGCGCTACCCAACAGTGTGTCAGCCATGCTCCACCCCAGGGTGGCAGGGGCTGAGCAGAGCTTTTCCTAACCTTGCTCTTCACAGTAGCCAGGGCCTGCTGTACTGCCAAGCACAAGAACTGAGAATAAGGAGCCTCCTGTGCTCTAATTAATACAACTCTCTCCCTCCCCCTCACCCCCCAGTTCCCAGAAATGTAGAGGAGGAAGCAGACGGACTCAAGGAGAAGAACATGGAAAGGAGGTAGGAAGGGGAGTACTGGGGGCAGGAGCAAAGCAGGGAGAAGCACATACAGAGCTGGAGAGGGGAACAAAAGATGAGAGGGGACAGAGGCAGGACCCAGGAGGAAGAAGGGGGGGAATAGGAGCAGAGGAGAAATGGAGGCAGGAAGTGGAGGGAAGGGGACAGGAACTGGGGATATGATCTGGAGGTAGGTGCCAGGGTGAAAAGAGAGAATAGAAACAGAAGGTGGGGCCGGGGAAGGAAGATTCATGGTTATGTAACTAGAGCACACTCCCTTCCAGAACCTGGAATTCAACCCAAGATTCCAGAGTCTCAAAATTTCTTCTGCGGTTTAGCAAATAGCTGTGAAGCACCCTGGCAAAGTCTCATTACCCTATAGAGGCTGGTCCACATGGAGGATAACGGCCTGTTCCTGGTACCCATTACTCCATGAGCTCAAGTACTAGAGTCTGTGCTCTGAATCTAAAGGTCCCAACCCTTTTGATAATCTCCACGTGGCTCACTGTGCCAACCCTGGTGCCAGCTGTGCCCGTATATCTATTCAAGGGGCACCATGATAGGACCTAACCACATGAGCCACACCATCAGGGGCTCATTCACCTGCACCTCTACCAATGTGATATAAGCCATCATGTGGCAGCAATGCCCCTCTGCCATATACATTGGCCAAACCAGCCAGTCTCTACGCAAAAGAATAAATGGACACACATCTGACATCAGGAGTTATAACATTCCAAAACCAGTCGGAGAACACTTCAAAACAAAACATTACAAAAACTAATTTTTGCCCTGCTCATATTCACACCTTCTTGTCAACTGTTTGAAATGGGCCACCTTGTTTACATTGGCCTCATCAGCACTACAAAAGTGATTTCCACCCCTTCTTGTCAACTGTTGAGAATAGCCCACTTCCACCTCAATTGAATTGGCTCCTTAGGAGTTGCCTTACTAATGGGGGGTCAGTGTTATCTTTTCATATGCTGTGTATTTATCCCTCCCTACTGTATGTTCCACTCCATGCATCTGATGAAGTGGGTTTTAGCCCACGAAAGCTTATGCCCAAATACATTTGTTAGTCTCTAAGGTGCCACAAGGACTCCTTGTTGTTATGGCTCACTGTAGTTCTACATGATGGAATTCTGTGTGTGTTATCTTTTAAAAAGCATAGGATATTAAACTGAAAAACATAAACTTCTATTTTCTTATGTAGAGCCTGAATATATATAGTGAATGGTCTTCTGATTTTCAGATAACTTCTTAAAACCTGTTCAAAAACCAGATGTAAACACTGCTGATCCTGTTTGTCCATAAGTTACAGGTAGATCTTTTATTTGTCCTCATAAGCATATATAATCCCTTAGACCTGTCCATTTAGGTTATGGCAGAATGAATGGATGAATATTACATTTGCCTGGGCTTCTAACCAAGTTCTTTCCTTTATATGCACTCTGTTCAATTTACCTTTTTTCCAGCCTTTTAAAGGATCCTTTGCATTTGGGTGTGACAAACTTTCTTATTTGATACAGACCAGTGTCTTTTTGTTTACATGCCGACATTCATATCAGAGTTCCTTCATGTGCAGTTCTTTCTCAATTCATAATTATTATTGACAGTACTATGTGAAATTCATAAATCTTAATCTGATCCTGAAATTCTTTTACGTATGTAGGCCATGACCCTGCACTAAGGACTGCACGATTGAACCCCATGCACTTGCATGGAGCCCCACTGAAGTCAAGGGATACTGTAAGCCAGTTCTTTGATTAGCTAGTGGAGCATCAGGGTCCTTGGACTTTCATCTACTATGCTAATGCTACACAATCTGGGGTAGCACACATTTTCCATGACCCAACATTTTGGGGGTAGGAAGTGAAGAATACTTGAACTTCAGAGGAGAATTAAATAGACTAAAATGTGAATACTATAGCTAGAATTTTTTCTACATGTTGAGTCTAATCACATCTGTTCTTGCAAAAAGTGTCATGTGATCTTTGGCCATAAGTAAGGCTACAGTTTTGTCACGGAGGTCATGGAAGTCACGGCATCCATGACTTTCAAAGACCTCCGTGACTTCAGCCTGCAGCAGCTGGGAGTTGCAGGGTCCTGCTGCCTTCTGTGGTGGCTGGGAGCTGCTGGGATGGGGATACCCAACAGCTCCGTGCAGCCACCAGTGGTGGCAGGGGGACCCCAGCAACTCCCAGCCTGGGTGGAGAGGATCGGGGGGTCCAAGTACCCATGGGTGGTGAGGGCCCTGTAGTTCCCAACTGGCCACGCAGGGCTTCCATGAATTTTTCTTTATTGCCTGTGACCTGTCCATGACTTTTACCAAAAATATCCATGACACCATCTTAGCCATAGCCATAAGTTGTTAGGATCTCTGTTCTACTTCTCTGAAAGATGGCACCTTCTGCACCGGATAACCATGATAATAACAAAATAATTAGCCCCAGCAAAGCACCAAAGTTACATTTACAGGAATAAGTACAGTTATAACTGAGTCCTAAAAATCTGCACTTTGGTTACTCAAGTAGTTATGGTAGTCAATATATATCTTCCTACTAACAGGGAACAACTCCAAAGGAATTGCTTCATTTTGCTCAGTATAGAATAGGCAGTTTTAAAAAATAAATAAACTGTTCTCCATGTTTAATTAGCTTGGTGTCTTAGTTTTCTCTCTGGGAACTAAATATAGTTATCAGTATCCATAAACGGTCACGTCAATCGTTTTTATTTTTCTGGGGATTTGACACAAACCAGTGGAAGTGAGGAGTCGATTAATGCTGATGATCCTTAATATAAATTGTTGGGTCATTTTGTGGGGTTTGACTTAAGAGCAGCAAGTCCTTCTGTGTCACAATCATGACACTTATTTAAATACAGCTTTTCCATATTTAATT